GTTAGGCATGCGCAGCCCATGACCTAGCCATCTCAGTCTATGTAGCTTTATAGCCTCGTCGATTGATTTTCCCTGTTTGCCCAACACTCTACGCCTAACGTCAGCATTACTTACCTTATTATACCACCTAACGTGAGAAAGAGATCGTAGACATCTGTGATCAAAAGCAGTCAACCTCTTCATGTCTTCAACTCGTATTGACCATGTTTCAGAGCCATAGAGAAGGACTGAACGAACTGATGAGCAGTACACACGTCCCTTGGTTGATAGCCGGATGTCACGCCTACGCCAGAGATGGTGTAAGTTGGCGAAAGCAGCTCGAGCTTTTTGGATCCGTGGTGAGATTTCGTCGCCAATCAGTCCGTTGGTGCTGATACAACTTCTTAAATAGGTGAAGTGGTCAACATGTTCTATCACTTCACTCCTTATCACTAAGCTAGGAGTTGACTTAGTTCAGTTCTGTAGCAGCATCTTACATTTTGTAGGGGCGAATCGCATGCCAAACATACGAAGATTGCTGCTCAAGGTGTTCAGAAGACTCTGCATTTTGTCATCATCCTCCCCTAACAGGACTATGTCATCTGCATATTCTAAGTCCATAAGACTATTCCCTGGTAACAATTCGATTCGGAAGTTGTTAAGTTCAGTTAAGGATACTGTCGTTAGGAGTCTGCTTCTTCCTCCTTTATAGCTGTGAGACCTGGCCATTGAGAGTGGAACATACGAAAAGGCTGGCTAGCTGTCTTCGATCATAGACATCTGCTGTTCTGTCTCCCGTGTTAAGTGGTAGGTGTAACAGGGTGAGCAATATTGCGGTTAGGCCTCGGTCAAGTACTAGGTAAGCATCGGGGGGAAATCAGTCGATGAGGCTGTGAAGCTACATCGACTGAGATGAGTTAGGACATGTGTTACATATGCGTAGTCTAGCCATCGCCTTCCTCGTCGGCCAATCGAAGCTGACATTAGGTTAGACTGGAAAAGAGCTGGCGGCGGCAAACAAAAACATGGCTTCATCAGCCAATGAAATCCAAAACAGTTAGTTTAAGTCAGTTACGTAGGTAAGTGTAGACTTCCTCACTGGTCGAGGTCGTCGGGACGGTAAAAACCAGTGGTCACTGGAGACAATCAGTGATAATGCTCGAAGTCATTCTCGACGATGGCGCAGATTAATCCACTCCTTTTGGCTTATATAAAAGTTAATGAAACTTAATTGCTCACCGTTATTACTATTCCTTTTGTCTCACACCTCTGTTTACTGTCTCTAGTATGCATTTCTTCTACTTTCTTCTGTTGCTTTGTGTGGTACATGGAGGGAGTGTAGCGACTTGAACTGTTGCACACCGGTGCGAAGTTCTGTGTTGAAAACAGACAGACAGACCTTGTTTGCCTTCCTTGATTTTTGAATCGATGCAAAGTGTCGACAAAACTCTGGCATTGAAAATTATTATAATATTTAGATGGAATGAAGAACGGTCCCGTTTAACAGAAATAAAGTGACACTGATTTCGTAGCTATGCAAACTTCCGTCATCAGTTAAATTACTCTTAAAAGTGTGAATAATATATAAATAGAATTCTGTGTGACAACCTGATATGTAGTCACATGATATCCGCTTTGTATTGACAGTTTGATATGTTTGGTATATGCATATTGATCGATATTCCATTATAACTCCATCAACTAAATAAACAATGTATGACCTTTTGTCACATGACATGACAACCAATCAGACCCAATGATGGTAAAAGAAACTACTGTCTATCTAATTGGCTCATGTATGTTAGTCATTTTCGTATACACCCTTGTATTGTACAGTCAATAGACTCTTTCACACCCTTCGTACTATTTAGTACCTTTCCCACTCACACTCTTGTGTGACTAGTTAATTTTCCTTGTTGGGAAATACACGTGTCTTCGTGAACGTGGTGGTCTTCTGATTTGCCACCTTCGCGTCAGGAAGAATTAACTACTCAGCAATACCAGTCCGTACGTTATCGTCTGTTATATCTCATTAGCGGCAATGACCCCATAACATATTGGCGACGAGTACATAACACATGACTGTTAACTATGATTATGAGAAGCGAATTGTATTTGAGATATTGAATTGAATTTTTGATTTTCCCGTCGATTGATTGGACCGAAGTGCTCGGTCTCAGTATGGTGGAACTTGGTAATGGGGTGCCGGGGAACATCACCCGAAAGGACCCCGGAGCCAAAAGGAAAGCCTCGTCCCTCCACCCATGTATTTGAGATAGTTTAAGCATCAAATAGTACTTGATCTGTCTGTCGAATATGTGGTGAGTTGGTCTATATCTCTCTCTCTTTCAATGTTTATTATTCATTTAGAATGTGGCTTTCAGTGTTACAGGCAATCAATATGTGAGAGACTAGGTGAAGATGCCAGACTTATTTGTGCTAGATACTTTAATACATTGGATTGCATTAACGATGCACACATCTATTTTTATTTTACCAGTAATAGTAACCCCCCTCCCCGCACACACATACATCCACTCAATAGATGCAGACGTCGTATTCTCTTGCGAAGTGCGTTCATTTTTGATAAAAATAGAACCACTAATTTGCTTTCATTTCTTTGGCGGTATGATAGTGCATAGTTGAAATTTTGCCAACCATTTTGATACTACGCTGCTCTTGACTCTTCTTATTGATTATTGCCTATTTTGCAGAGAGAGAGAGAGAAAGAAAGTATTGTATCTCTAGTGGTTTAACTGCTTCCAAGGGACATTGCTGGACAAATTCGACATCCGCCAAGAAGGGACTTGAAAATTAAACATCGTTAGATATCATCACAATTTATATTTTGCAATAATTTTACATTCCACCTCCATTGTTCTGTTATGGAGATGTGTGTTTCATTGTCTGAAGCAATTAGTGGTGCCTCGGTTCGAGTTCGTCTCCACTTACTGTGTAGCCCGAATAACTAGGTACTATCGTTAGCCGCTCCCACCCCCCGCCACACAGTACTGGGTAATTGATATCTAACTAACAACTCTATTAGTACAGAATTGTCAAGTTCAATTTATCCGCTGAGTCATTATTCATTAGTGTTATAGCAGTCATCTTTATTAACTTACCTAATCGGGTGGTAGTTGCTACTTGAAAGCGATAGTCGGGTTCGCCTATCGAAATGACCCAACGAGCTATACTGGCTGGAAATAATGTTCCTGCAGGACCTACTATTCCGGGAAGTTCGTTTCGATAATGGTAAGACTAAAGGCAGTTACACTAGCTCTGTAGGAAGGGTCGTGCTGCTGGTGAATATGGATGTATGAGCTGTAAAGTGTTCCCCTCAGAAAACCAGTGAACCAGTAATGTTACCTCTCCACTGTAGAAAAGTGGGAGAGGGTTGGAAAAAGTTGACCCCGAAAATTTCACATCTCGACTTATCCCAATATAGCCCTTGGCTGGTGGTAAGATTCTAATACGGAGACAACTCTAAAAACTAGTTCAATTGGGCTTTGTTTGATCGACTTCGAGCAGTTGTCCTTTGGGTTTTACCGTCATGCAACATTAATTCTCTTTCAGTCTCAGGCACTCCATGAACAAATCAACTTCCACGGTGTTTGTTAAACGTAAAATAATTGAGCAAAAAATATCCTTTTAGATAATTTCCTCCTGTTCTGGCTCTACGATTTTATATATGTGTGTTTATTTACATAGAATATTCTAGAATAGTAGTCAATAACAATATGAGTGTTTCTTGAATAATATCGATTTGTAAATTAAGATCAATAGAATTACAGTTCATTAAAATGCTTAAATTAATTAATAATAATAAAAATATAATGGCAAATAGAATATCAACTAAAATTAGGAAATTTCCACAACAAATTGAAGATCATTCAGACGTAGATGGCTAAAGTAAGGACAATGTCTGTGAACGAACTTCTTTTGCGCGCACAAATTAGGCTTGTTAATATGGATTCCAACAGCCTCAGCAATATTTAGTAATCGAACTCTTAAGGCGAAATGTTGGTATGCGGTAAATGACTCTGAAAGACTGGCCGGATGCCCGGCGCTCTTCACCGGGTTGACTGTTCATTGGATGACAGTCCAGGGGAGATGGCTAAACCCTGATTCCAAACCTCCAACAACTGGCGTATGAAGCTCACCGGAGCTCACCGTAGACGTATGGACAAAGGGCTTATTGGATCCCCTGGATGACTGGCCCCATTCAAAAAGGCGAATGAACCGGACTCCGGTCACCGGCTGACAATGGATAGTGGACTCCCTACTCCACTCCTACTGCCTTGTAGGTCACACTTGGTTGTGTAAAGGCTAGAGCTGCACTCTCAAACAAAGGCCGAGCGATTCTGGGGACATCACTAGTACCTAATTCCCATGAAACTTCATGCTAACATCAATCTTGTGGTGTGTATTCACAAGATGAAATGGAATGGTGCTACGAATAGATTTTGTTTGTCCTCTACTTAACCACTGCACATGATGATGTTAGGAAATCCGACGATAAACACACCTAATTGTACGGCTTATGTAACTGACTCCACAGAAACTTCATGGTGTTAACAGCCGGGAAGTAGTAATCGCCCACATACTTCCATAAACACATTTGTCATAGAATGTTATCGCCGGTCATTGTGAATAGTGGCATTTATGTGCCTAAATTAACTGACGTCATTGATTATAACTTCTCATTAAAACTCTGGTAACTCTGTATGTGGTCCAACTTTTGATCAATAATGGATTAATATTAGAGTTTATGCTATTTTCCAGGGGTGATCTATTGATCCACGCTGAACTATGTATGTATCATTGATTAACATGAGTAACTCTCGCTAGCTGGTTATATTTTTACGAGTTGACCACGGATTGATATCAGTTAGGGAACCATTGAAAACCAGGGAGTACTGGACAGATGCTGTTTCATCCTAATTTGGGAGTCATCGGCAGTATGCACCCACCGGGATATTTATAATTCTCTACTTGTTTTTTTTTTCGCTTTTGTTTTACAGGTTGATCGTCTCAATAATCAATTGAAAGATTCAGATACACGTGTTCGTGAATTACAAATCAAGCTGAAAGAAACTGAAATATCTAAAAAGTCTTATGATGATGACATCAATAATAAAAATATCATTGAACAATTAGAAAACAAAGTGAAGGCAACAGAATCTAAGTTATCCAATGCACAGAATGATTTAAATCATTTACAATCACAAGTAGAAAAGAATAAATTGACGATTGTAAGTTGTACACATATGCATTATAATACGGGACCCTATGGAGTCCAATACATCCACTATATTTATTGTTCAATAATGTCCTAACAGTATACGTGACAGATACTGTGTTAGCCTTTATTGGTCATTCGTCTATTTGTATGTGTTTCGTTACCTTATTTATTTTTAAAATTTCATGTTAGTAAAGAAGTTCAAACAGAGGTTTTATTCACTTTATTGAAAGGTGTTCACATTCTTCAAAATGAGTTAATATATGTGTAAAACTTGGGCACTGTGGTAGTAAGTAATTCCATATTCGTTTGTTTATTAAATGTATCACACAGTGAAATAGTATTGTATACTGGATGACGTTTCGAACACAATTTATTGTTCATAATCATATCAATTTTGGTCACACTACTTCGAGATTTGATTTTTATAGTTTTCTCTGTCTTCTCCTATTTGTTGTATGGGCAGTAGAATTTTCCATATATCTGGGACAGGTGTTGAATCATTCCTATTACATGTATTTGCAGTTGATTCGATAAACAAAGCTTCTGTTATCAATCTCTCCCTCCACCCAGCTGTTACATTAGATTTTAAAACTGTCATCCTATCCCCATCCTATTGTATGGTTGTGTGTAACTGCATGTAGTGCTATAGCTGAACTACTCTCTAGATTTCTTGTCTTATTCGGGTCAACTAGTCTAGATTTAGCTAGGTTTTTATGTTCGGCTAGTCTGACTGCCCCTGTTCTACTAGTTTGACCTATGTATTTTACCTGACAGTCATTCCAGCAGGGTATTAGATAAACTAAATTGTTTTGTTTTAATGGCTCTACAGGATCCTTCAACCGACAAAGCTTGTATCTAATCGAATCAACTGCAAATACATGTAATAGGAATGATTCAACACCTGTCCCAGATATCTGGAAAATTCTACTACTCCAACGACGACAAATAGGAGAAGACAGAGAAAACTATAAAAATCAAATCTCGAAATCTTCAGAGTGAGGCTAAAATCCAGCATTCATCGTTTTGAACGCCAACAGATTGTGCATTAACTGACTACTACTGACTAGGCTACATACAAGATCATTTAATCATTTAGTTGTTTTTAAATTAAAACAAACACATTGAGAAACTTTTGTGGTGTTTCAATCAATAAATAAGAAACATATTTACGAGTTCCTCATAATCATATATCAGTTTAGTCATACAGCTTCACAGTTTGTTTTAGATATTATATATGTATTTTCTCTCTTTCTGTGTCTCATCAACTTCCCTTTGTTGTTTGTTGCCACTTTCCATATCCATGCCGGTATAGGCAGGCGGTAACACCAGACAACTTTTTAAGCTTATCAGGGTGCCTTGCGCTGCGGGTTGGCCACCCCTCCGTACACCTCTTGAAATGCTCCCATATGACCGGGCGTCTTACATAGCTTCTCCTGAGGAAGTCCTACTCACTGCCTTCACGTGGCGGAGGTGTTTTTCACTGAAGTGAGAGGGCAAAAGCGGATGCCCGGCGCTCTCCACCGGGTTGACTGTCCATTGGATGACAGTATAGGGGAGATGGCTAAACCCTGATTCCAAACCTCCAACGACTGGCGTATGAAGCTCACCGGAGCTCACCGGTAGACGTATGGACAAAGGGCTTATTGGATCCCCTGGATGACTGGCCCCATTCAAAAAGGCGAATGAACCGGACTCCGGTCACCGTCTGGCTGACAATGGATAGTGGACTCCCTACTCCACTCCTACTGCCTTGTAGGTCACACTTGGTTGTGTAAAGGCTAGAGCTGCACTCTCAAACAAAAGGCCGAGCGATTCTGGGGACGTCACTCGTACCTAATTCCCATGAAACTTCATGAACTCTCTACAACATTAACCAAATTCCAGTACTGGTCCAACAATGTCGCCTTCGGTGGTTTGGCCGTGTTCTGCGCCGACCAGATGACGATCTGGTCAAATCAGTTCTAAATCCCTTGCCATTTCCATCTTGGCGATGTCGCAGGGGTGGACAGCTGAAAACATGCCTTGGTACAGTCAAGGCTGATATGGAGTGACTGGGGCTACAAACCGTCTACGGACTCCGTCTGTGGAACAAGAATCGGATAACCCTGTCGCAAAACCTTGCATGAGATCGCCGCGCCTGGGCAGCGATGATTCGAGATGTTCATGAAGCCGGCTCATCCTCCCGTAGGAGATAGCCGAAGTAAAGTAAAAAATGTAAAGGGAAACAGGTGGTAAAAGGCAAATGGTAAATTAAACAATCTCTGAGAAAAAAATGGCACTATAATTTACTCTCAAGACAGACGACTAAAACTCTGGAAAGAGCACTATGAGGAGCAGTTTAATTGGTCTACAGCCACACTCAAACTACCGAACATCTAACACCTCCCTGATGAATTGTTTATAGACACAGGTCCTCCGTCCTTAACTGAGGTTACTAAAGCTGTCACTAGTCTGAAACAAGGCAAAGCAGAGGTATTTAATTACGGTGGAGATAGTTTACTGTCTACATTAACTGAGGTACTAGGCAGCGTCTAGGAGTCCGAGGAAATAACCGTCGGGTTGGTGTAAGTCACTGATTATCCCTATATACAAGAAGGGAGACAAGTCTTCCTGTGATAATCACAGAGGGATTAGCTTGACTAATATAGTATCTAAAGTCCTAGGCTCAATAATCATGCGTAGACTAAATGGTGCTCGGGAGGCACAAACACGAGGGGGCCAGGCAGGCTTTAGACCAGGAAGAGGGTGTATTGATCATATCTTCACCCTTCGACAGGTTCTAGAACATACATTGCACTGATCAAGACACTCTACTCGAACTCAAGCAGCTAGGTGAGGGCTTACGACGAGTTGTCATCTGAAGTGGTGACAACTGGTGGTGTCCGTCAGGGATGCCCATTATCCCCATTTCTATTCAATTTCATCATAGATGTGCTAATGGACTTAACCCTAAGTGACTTCAGCGACTCAGGGATTGACTTGATACCAGGGAATAATCTCGTTGACTTAGAATATGCAGACGATATAGTCCTTCTAGGCGAGGACGCTGACAAAGTACAAGCAGAGTCTTCTAAACACCTTGAGCTTCAATCTACGAATGTTTGGCATGCGATTCGTTACTACCGTGAAATGTAAGACGATGTTACAGGACTGGACCACATTGACTCCTAGATTAGAAATAAGAAGTGAAGTAGAGCACGTTGACCGCTTTACTTATTTGTGAAGTACCATCAGCCAGTGCCAACGGGTTGATCTCTGACGAAATCTCAGTACGGATACAAAGGGCTCGTTTCCCATATGCCAGTTTACGCCGTCTCTGGTTAAGTAGACGTGATATCCGACTGGCTATCGAAGAAAGGGCAGGTGTACTGCACAGGAGTCCGTTCCGTCCTCTTTTCTGGCCAGCTCTGAGACCTGGCCATTGAGAGTGGAAGACATGAGAAGACTAGCTGGCTGTGTTTGATCATAGGTGCCTGTGTTTTGTCTCCCATGTGAAGTGGTATAATAAGGTGAGCAATATAGAGGTTAGCCATCGATCGAGTTCCATGTAAGCATTGAGGGGAAATCATTCGACGAAGCTGTGAAGCTACATCGACTGAGATGTTTAGGACACGTGTTACACACGCGTAGTCTAGCTATCGCCTTCCTCGACGGGCAATGTTAGCTGACATAGCTGGGTCAGGTTGGAAAAGAGCTAGTTGTGGTCAAACCAAAACATGGCTTCATCAGTCATTGAAATCTACAACAGTTAGTTTAAGTCACGTAGGTAGGTGTAGACTTCCTAGTTGGGGTCCTCGGGACGGTAAAAACCACTGGTTGGAAACAATCTGTGATATGGCTCAAACTCATCGTTCTCAATGGCTACCGCAGATGCATCCACTCCTTGTGACTTATGGTTTCCAATGAAACTATATTGTTCTCTATTATTACTATTCGTTTGTCTCACACCTCTGTTTACTGCCTGTATCATGGATTTCTTTTACTTTCTTCTGTTGCTTTGTGTGTTACAAGGAGGGTGTGTGGCGACTTGGACTGCTGCACATCGGGCAAAGTTCTATTTCGAAAACAGACAGGCAAACAGGTAAAGGCGGTGTTGTCTCATTCCGATGGCACGTATGTGGTGTTGAAACGATAAATAAAGTTTTAGTGATTAACCTCTTTGTTTATCCACCTAACTATCTTACTTTTTAGTACTGTCACCCTGTGATTACATGCAAGCGAATGCAGTGCAATGACTGAGCTCTGTTTTTTCTAGGTTATTTAACTTAGCAGAGTCAATTATTGTAGGTCTAACTTAATTTCTATGTTCCACTAATCTATCTGACTGACCCCGATCCATTGGTTGACCTGTGTAAATTGATCTCACTAACAGTCATCACATGGTATTAATCTCTCCAACTTCCCTCTTAGCAATAATTTATGCTTGAAAACTTGTCACCCAGTTGTTAATACTGCATCATCACTGTGTGTGATTATTAAAATAAACTTATCTAATGTGGAATTACATCATTCTACTACAATGCCAAAGTTTTATTTATAATTATTATTCCTTTGCACTCCGAATGGGGAACATAAGGCTTCAACAACATGTCTCCAATTTGTTCTGTGTTCTGGCGTTCTCTCCAACTGTGTCCAGGATTGTCCTTAATCTCTCTTCTCCTCTTCACCAAACGATCTCCTCCTTGTCACCCTCGCTCTGACCACCCACTCGTCGCTTCCTACTTGGATTCCACTCGAGCGATGGCATGGCGTGTGATGTCATTCGGTGGCCTCCTGAGTGTTTGCTCGATCCATCTCCACTTTCTCCTACATTTTTATTGAGCAATCGGCTCTCGCCTGTTGGTGGTATGTCACCAGCCGGAGTTTCTTATTGCTTATTCTTTCTGGTCAACCGTTTGATCTTCAGCATGGAGCTAGAGAAGACAGCTGTTCATAAAACTCTGCCACACTCGCTGTTGGAAATCCTTTTCCTGACACATTAATCAAGCTTCTGACCCTTATAGAAGCAGTGACTGACTTCACATTTGTGTTGAAAATGTGAATCTTCTTCCTGCGGGTGCTGAGGGTGGAGTGCGGAAGATTTTCAAATTGCTTTTGGATTATTGAAGGCATATCTCGCCTTTTCGATTCTGACTTTGACATCTTCGTCCGTTCCGTGTGTCTGTAGTTGAAATAATGTTTCCTAGCCAGATAAGTGAAGGAGGCAACCTCTGTTAAATCTCTCTCGTGTCGATAGTGATTGGTGCTGGTTGTTGTTGTTGTTGTTGCGGTTCGTTGGTTATCTTCATCACCTTCGTCTTCTCTGTGTGTTCACCTGAAGTGCTGTTTTCGCTGTCAGCCTATTCAGCCAGTTTATTGATTTTCTCTTCGAAGTCTTTGAGTTTGTGTGACATTTGACATGTATCATCCACTCGCGAAATCCATATCTTCTAGAGTCTTCTTATTGGTGGTCCAGCTTATTATTCCTGACTCCTCACCACCACCACCAACACTTTGATGCATAATCCAGCCCTCACCCACAATTAAGAATATTATCGTTGATAAATAAGCGGGTAGCCTTGTCTTACTCCTCCTGTATGTTCATCGAACACCTCGATGAGTTTTCTGTTGTGGATCAGTTGACACGTGGCATTGTCATATAGCCAGCTGTTGAATGAGATTGATAAAGACTTGAGGTACACCATAGTGTCGAAGTAGTTTCCAAATTACTTCTCAGTCAACACTGTCTTGTGAAGGTTTTTTCGAAGTCGATGAAGTTGAAGCAGAGAGAGATTTGATTGCCATTCTATGCTTTGTTCGATGACGACGCCAAAGTTGTACACTTACATTAATATTTATGAGTTGTTGTACAGTGTAAGATAAATAAATCACATATTCACTCACTCAGGAACTGGATCACTCTAAATTTTCTCTACGCTAATCTTATTGATCAGATGGTGATAGAGCGTCGATGGCACAGCGGTTAAGACGCTCTCCGATCATGCACATGGTCCGGGGTTCGATCCCCGGCCACAGACGCACTCCTTTACCTCGCTAACCCAGAAATAATGCTGGTAAAGAGAAAAGGTTTGGCATGAGGCTAGCAACCCCATTCTGTAAAATTAAACACTACTACAGAAGCTTCAAGCCACTAGCTTGAGGTCCTATGTTCCACTGGGAACGTGAAGGAAATAATAAAAAAAGACGGTGATAGACAACCAACAGATTTTATCCTTTTATAAATGCCTACTGGTGTGTGTGTGTGTGTGTGTGTGTGTCGGATCAAACGCTAAACTCAACGAGAAAAGGTTGAAGTCAGTTTTATCAAAGTGTTATAAAGTGAATTTGTCAATTATAATAGATAAAAAAATAATACAATACTACTGTAAAGTTTGACTGACTGTTCAACTGGTTTCAACATAGAACTTCGCACAGATATGCAGCAGATAGAGTTGTCACCCCGCCTCCTTGTCTCACACAAAGCAAGGCAACAGAGTTAGCATAGGTACAAAAAACAGATGATAAACAAAAGTGTTAGTGAGGGAAAAAGAATAGCAATATATATGGAAGAGAAATGGAGTTTTATTGGATGGGCATCACAAATCACAAAGGATGAATGCATCTGCACCAGCCATTGAGCTAGCTATATCACCAATTGTCTATCTCCAGCCGTCAGTGGTACTTACCATCACGAGGACCCCAACCAGTCAGGAAGTCCTCACCTTCCTCCCTACGTGGCTCGCTGTCTTAAACTAAGCGTTATGGACTCACTGATTGATGAAGCGGTGTTTTCGTTTGACCACCGCCAGGTAACTCTTTTCCAACCTGAACAATCCTATGTCAGTCGGCTAACATCTCCCGTCAAGGAAGGCGATGGCTAGTCGTGCGTGCGTAACACCTGTCCTAAGCATGTCACTCAATCTATGCAACTGCTTCACAATCTCGTTGATTGATTTCCCCTCCTCACTTAGTACTCGTCTGAGGCCTAACTTCAATATTACTTAACCTATTACACGGAAGATAGAATGTAGATACCTATGATCAACGACAGATAGTTGGCCTTGGTTTTCCACTTTCACTGGCCATGTCTCACCGACAGCCATAAAAGAGGATGGAGCGAACTCCTGACGTATAGTACACTTTCCCTTTGGTTGACAGTCGGATATCACGTTTACTAAGTCAGAGATGGCATAATTTAGCAGACATTAGTGTCAATATGTGACTCTTGAATTTACTTAGCAGTTGTTTCATGTTTTGATGACCTTTATGCATATGACATCTTCCGTTAGTAGACGTGAGGAATTGAGGAGTCGCCATGACCCTAAATGCCGAGTAACAGTGAAATATATATTTATATGCTTACATTTGGCCTATTATTTTCACTCCTATATTCTTTCCACTGTTCTTTGTCTGTTTTTTCTGCCCAGAATACATTGGAAGCTAATCTACACGAATCTCGTCAGCAAACTTTAATCGCAGATAAAAGAACTGAATTAGCTCAAAACGACAATATACGTTTAGCACGTGAATTGACACAATATAAAGAAAAAGCGAATCATATTTTAGCTATGAAAGAACGGGTAAATTCAATTCAATTTTCCTATTTTTGTTGTTTTCGCTCGACTACTTATTCCATATTCAGTAGTTAAAAACACAACGGCAATCAATGTGAAGTTTTTTTCATGCGTTGTGATTTAGGAGCTTTTTTGACTTTGTAAGGGACTTTATCAACACCTATAGACATCAGTTAAGGAATCACTGACAACTGATGTTGTTTTGTAACTCAACAGGCTTTTAAATCAGTCCAAGAAGTGCTGAATGAGAAATCTACAAGATGGTGGTTAAGCTGGCATATCAGAATAACAAGATGAGTTCTTCCTGCCTACCATACCGTTGTTTAACATAGTGATGTGTAAGTATTGTTGTAGGCTTCTGTCGACTAGGTCGAACTACTGTCAGAGCAGGATAAAGTGGGCGTAAATACTTTCCATTCAATAGCGAACAAGGGAACTATACTGCTTCCTCAATCTTTAGAGGTTTGATTAGGAAAAGTTGACTACAAGACTCGGTTAATAATTATCGGAAAGGCGCTTCGTACGGTTGGACTTTCAAAATCCGACCGCATTCAAACGACCGGTGTATAACCAGCCTCATGAAAGCCTCTTCTTTCCTGTTCAGTGAAACAAAACAACTCACTCGGCATTATTACGCATTACAGCGTCGAAGAATTACACAACTGACAATAGTCAATCTCTTACACACACGTTTATCTTAATCAAGGAATTATCGTGACAAAACGGTAAATGACTCCAACAGTTTTTGCCAAACTATTACTTCAAAGGATAAATTAAAAAGACGGTTGGAGCGAAGAAAAATTTCTTTTCGACGAAGTCATCAACTAAATGATAGCTGTACATTCGTGTATTTATAATAAATGGGTGGGAGAGTTCCAGAATAATTTCCTGTTAAGAGGTGAAATTAATCAAATTACAGTTAGGAATTAAAATTCCATAATAAACAGGGGGACGAATAAAGCTCAGACAAAGTGGCATCATAATTACTAAGATGATTGACACATTGTGCGGGTGGGGGTTAGAAATGTAGAAATAACAAGAATAGACAGGATGTTTGGATAAAAAATCTAGTGGGATCATAGATAATGTGACGAATAATTGTTTATGCGATCAGGGCTTATATATGTAGAAATAATAAAATGACGAAGTAGACAGGAAGTTCGGGTATGAAAATATAGTAGTGTAAATAGGGATTAAGAAAAACTTAAAAATAACATGAATAAACAGGAAGTTTGAATAAGAAAGGCAATGGGATAGTCATTTTTAGAAGAATTACCTGTTTATGATGGCCTTGGCAGGGACAAGGGTTGGGTGCATTTTTTTGGATACAAAGCATGGGTTAGAGCTTTTGGATGGCTAGTGCCTCGGGTATGCCCAGATGTCTTAATTTTACTTCCTTTGATAGGTTTGATCGAATCTTGTATATGATTTTGAAGGATTTTTCGAATGGTGCTGAATATCCAGAATTGACCATATGTTCTGTCACTGAACTACACACACGTTTTCGTTCTCCTTTTACTAACTGGACTGGATAGTGTTTACGAGTGCGTTTTTCAAATTGGCGCGTCGTACGGTTGATGTACTCAGCTCCGGACGAGCAAGTAAACTGGTATATGCACGTTGAAGTGGCCCAATGCAACAACTTGTCTTTCGCGTTCTGACTGAACAGTTTCTTACAGGAAAGTCGTTAGTCGTAGGCTTTCGGCTAAGTATGTTTTCCCTGAGAGATTTGCAGAGGTATTTACGCAGGATTTCTGCTTTTTTTCCTTTTTGATGCATACCGCCGGTTCGAGGCTAGTGCCTCAATTACACAATATATCAGTTTTCTCAGTAATTATGATGCTACTTTGTTCGAGTTTTATCCGTCCCCCTGTGTTTATTATGGCATTTTAATTCCTAATTGCAATTTTATTAATTTGACCCTTATCCGGAAATTATTCTGGAACTTTCCCACCTAATTATCATAAATACGTGAAGGTACAACTATCATCTAGTTGATGACTTCACAGAAAAGAAAATTTTCTTCGCTGCAACCGTCTTTTTAATAATAATAATAATACCTATGATCCAATGTGTCTGTATATTCTGTGATTACATGGAAATAATAAAGATTCATTATATTCCTAGCCACACTGCCTTTCATTTCTCTCTCTCTTTGTCTTACTGTTCATTTTTCCAAACGTGTCAACTTATATGCTAATTTCCACGTTTCTTCAATTCATCACATAACAGAAAGCATACTGTAACAGCAGAAGACAAGGGCCAGACAACAGATCATTTATTTACGAAATCAACATATATTAATAGATTTTCATGTACATTATTATAGATTATTGTAAACAAATAAACACAGTCTTTTGATTGGTGGTTTCTCGCTGAACGTTAATCTTCAAATCTCTTTGTGGCTGTTTCTTGAATGTCAGATCATCTACATGCTAACTGTATCCGCCTACTCAAAGTCTGCTGTGATTGGTTGTTGAATCAGCCTTTGTTCCTTTTCCTCACGACAAATTTTGGGGACGTAAACATTGACATTTTCAATACAAACGTCAAGTCAGTCAGTTCTTCTATACAGATCGGATCAGAAACTTGGTGGGCGGGTCACAAAGAATATTTCCAACAGACTGGCTATTGCAGACCTTTATCAACAACTAACTGTCTTCGCTCTATACTGAATGAAGATCAGATGGCCGGGCCGGAAAGAATCACCAACAAGAAACTATGGCTGGGAAGAAACAAAACAAGAACCAATCAATCGCCAACCAACAAATATGCAGGAGAAAGTAGAGATGGATTGGGCACTAGCTGAGGAGGAGGCCGCTGGGTGACATGGGGCGCGCGTCAGGCTATTTCTCGAGTGGGACCAGACCGAAAGGGAAGCGGGGAGTGGGACGTCGGTGCAAGGGTGGGTGACATGGAGGAGATGGTGTGAAGAGGAGTTGAAACAGTATGGACTAACATGGATGGAGGTGAAAAGTCTGCAAAAGGAAGACAGAGGTAAGTGGAGACGTGCAGTTGAATCGCTATGTTTCACTAGGAACCCAAGGGAACAATGAAAATAGTTCGATGGATGACTTGTTATCTACTTTGCAGTCAACTAACTTCTCATGGCTTCTAATCATTGATATAAATTTCACTTAAGTTCTATAATTGATTGTGTATCGTATATATTGTCTTTTAAATTGACGTTTTCCCCCTATGTGCAGACTGATAAATCAATACGGTGAATTCAACTATAAACTTGGCCAATACAGTAACGCTTCGCACTCATTCTAAAGTGATAGCTGAAAAAATAAAGTTGAATGAATCGATTTGCTGTTAGTGATTTGTGTTTTTAAGTCAAAGGTGTTAGCGCTGATGAGTGCAGTGTAGTAATATTTGTATGTATACTAATTTATTTACGGTAGTACCTTATGTGGTATTTCTCAGTGCTAAACAGAGATGGACTAAATCAATACAATGTCTAGTATCTCTCTGTATTGCTGCATTGTACTGTACTTCCTCATAATTGTACATGAAAACGAAGATAAAATCAGAGGGAAGAAGAATTTTAAATTCAAATTTTGGGCGATTTTTATTGAATTTAAGTAATTTCAACGTAGGACTTTTTTCGCGGTTGGTAGTGTGGTGTATCGTATGAATTAGTAGAAGCTACAATTCCAACCGATTGACTTATCGTCAATATGTGGTGAGAGCTGTCTGCTAGCCAAAATTGGAAGAGAAAAATTTACGTCCCATATGTTGGTCATGTGAAACACATGAACAAAGACTAACTGCACAACCAATCACAGCAGACTTAGTGTGGGCGGATACGAGCACGAGCAGCACATATATGGTCTGATCTTCAGAGAAATGGGCACAAAGAGATGACAGATTAACTTTCTGAGAGAAAACAGCCATTCAGAAGACGCTATTTCTATGCTAATTATAATGTGATATGTAGTCACATGATGTCTGCTTTGTTTTGACAGTCTGATATATTTGCTATATGTATATATTGATCGTCATTCCGGTATAACTCACAAAACGCTTAGTCTGTCCATTAACTAAGTAAACAATATATGACCTTTTTATCACATGACATTACAACCAATCAGAATCCAATGGTGGTAAGAAAAACTACCATCTGTCCTATTGGTTCATGTATGCTAATCATTTCATATATACTCTTTAATCATACACTTGAACATTTTTTTTCACACCTTTCGCACACTACGTACCTTTTCACTCACTGACGGTCAATATCCCTTGTTGGAAATACACGCGTATCTTCGCGAACGTGGTGGTCTTCTGATTTTTCCCTCTTCGCGTCAGGACAATTAACTAGTCAGCAGTACATAACATAATGTACATAAAAATCTATAAATATCTGTTGATTCCCGCAATAAACGATCTGTTGCCTTGCCCTTGTCTCCTTTCGTTACAAATAGAGACTGTGGCTCTGTTACCTGAATGCACGAGGTAGGTGGAGAGAGAGAGAGAGAGATTGATTACTGAATCCAGACTAGATCATCGAGTCTACACCCAATACATGCAACAGAAATAACTCAATGCAAATACCAGAAACACGGAAGATATTATTACCACCAGTCAGTCAGTCAAACCAGAAGAGGATAATTAATAATCTTAGAATTCTATTTCAATTCAAGCACATCACAGCATTCTAACAAGTCACTTATTATGACTATAAAAACACTTGTCTTATTTCCCATCTGATTGTAATTGATCAATAACACTCGTATTATTATTTCTGGATGTACATTATCCCGTATTGATTTTTATTCAAATATCTGGTCAATTCCACATATGAAGGAAAGAAGTTGTGTGAGTAACTTGATATGATTGTTAGTGGCAATAAGTTGTGCTCGAAAGGTGGTCATCAGTTAATATAACTGTGTAGCACTGTGCGACTTATCAGAATAAAATCTTATCCATAATGGAGTTATGCTCTACCACCACAATGTTGTCTAAGTTTTATACTTATATCAATTATATGAATGTACGAGATTTGATCTTTGTTGAGAATACGAATGCATCCTACTAAAAGTGTAGTCATAAAGCAGAACAAACTGACTTTTCAGTGTCTCAAGCTATCAGATAATTGTTTAACTGACGTCGGTTCGTGACGAGATCTACACTAGAAGTAGTCATTTCTTATTTAATGCGAGTGAGTTGTATCTTTATTTTAATTGACTTAGTTATTTAACGAGAGATTTTATGGTTGATGTCCACGTTGAACAGATAGTTGTGTGTTTCTATGTCTGAATTTTCTGTTTTATTATTCTTTTTGTTTGGTGGGTGTCGGGGGTGTTGTGCAGGTAATTGCTTCACTACGTGGTCAAGATGTGACTTCTGAAGGATCACAAAATATGCTCAGCAGTGAAGAGAATACAGAAAATGAATTGATTACTTCTTTTCGAGCTGAATGTGATCTTTTACGTGAAGAGGCTAGTCGATGGCGTCTTGAAGTTGATCATAGAGAAATGGCTATCCAGGAATTAGAATTACAAATGCAAACTGAACGTGAATCATTACGACGTAATATTGAATTGTCTGAACAACAAGCAGAACGTGAAAAACAGGTTAGCGAATAGGAATTTATCATTCATGTTGTTGTTGTCATTGGTTTCAATATTATATGAGCAGGTTTTTTAAAAGGCAAATCAAAAAACACCAAATGACTTGGAATCAAGAGTGCTTTCAAGTATTGATTTTGTAGGGAACTTTGTTTGATTGATTGGATAATTTTATCATGAGCTGACATTAGTTAGAGAAGCGTTGAAAAACCCGGGAACAGCGAACAGCCGTTTCGTCCTCTTTTGGGGCTCTTCATCAGTGCGCAACTACCATAGGAAGTTCGAATTCAGGACCTACTAGTTACAGCAGACACTGGGACCCAATCCAATGGCCATCCCATGAATTCCAACTTCTGCTAATTCATGACATAGTGTGAGATGCAGAAATCCTGGTGGTATATGGCTAAAAATCTGTTTCTTCCGGTGCCATGTGTATTTTGTTTTTTTACCATCGTCTAGATTTTAAAAAGTGTTATTTACTACCCTTCATTGAAAATTCTTTGTCGTGAACACCTATGTTTGTCAGTTTTAGTGTGACTCTGTTTCTTTTCCGTTATTTCTGAATGTTACGCAAATTGATTCACTTTTATGAAAAGTCCTGCCTTAATTCATTACTCATACACAGGGTATTCTGAAGGTTGAATCCTTAATGAGATTAACAGGGTCACATACCTGTTTGAAACCGGTTATCCGAAAACACTCATCAGTATGGCATGAAAGAAAGTATAACAGGTGGAAAGAATATTGTCAATTTAGGCGTAACAGACATCGATTTTCAACCAACCGGTTGGTTTTGTAAAAAGATTACATCTAAAGATAGATAAGCGAAAGACCACGAGCCTTTTGCCCACAACTTATTGATGTGCAATTTTTTACAAAAAAAAATATCTTTGGCCAAAAATGTTTCATCAATCTTTTACATATGAAGCGAATGTCGTACTCACTTCTCATGAACATGAATAAGAAGAGAAAATAGAGTAGGAAGCTTTTTGATGTGGTTTTGTTCTCCGAGCTGGATGGTTAGTTTGCGAAGCTTTCATCGCCCTACTGGGTGACGTCTTCAGTGCATACTTCAATTTGAAGTTAGCCTTTTAGATTTCTCCACGAGTTTATTAATCATCTCTCCTGGTGACCTTGGACGTGATTGGTTGTTTATGTGTGTTTTCACATCTTCTAGGTTACTTGTGTTGGAACTGATTGTTTCTTTGACTTGAACTTTGACCCTTTGTGTGTATGTGTGAGGTTTCTTTCTTATTGGTTGATAAATTTTGTCTATCTCAATGTGTCTATTGATTGATAATTCACTGGAATGCCAAGCTTCTAAAAATTCTCTAGCATTCTTGTTATTTCCTTTGTCTAATATTTGAACGTTGTCCCAGTCGAATTGATGTCCGTGGTTGTCTGTGTGTAGTGAAATGAGGGAGTGTATATCATGTCTTTTGACGGCTAGCTTATGTTCGTGGATACGAAGACGAAGGGGACGTCCACTTTGGCCAATGTAGTGTTTTTCACAGTTGTTACAGTTTATTTTGTAGATGATATTGGTTTTGTCTTCTTTTGCTGTTGAGTCTTTTGGTTGACATAGAAGCCATAGAAGGAGGAATGATTTATAAACTCGTGGAGAAACCTAAAAGCTCACTTCAAATTGAAGTATGCGCTGAAGATGTCACCCAGTATGGCGATGAAAGCTTCGCAAACTAACCATCCAGCTCAGAGAACAAAACCACATCAAAATTATCCACCTGAGCTACAAATCTTCTCTATCATATCTAGAGTAGGAAGCTTTTCTCTTGTGATCCTTGATTTGATCACTAGAAAACACAAACCAGAAACAATGAATAGTTGACTGGTGTGTTTATTCAGTGAATAAATCTCATTATTCGCCTAGAATTTCGCACAAAAGTTCTGCAGTTCAAGTTGTCCCACTGAGAGAAAGCGCACATAAAATTGGACTAAAGAAACGTAATGACGTTATGGTAAATGTGAGAATTTACCAAAGATATTAGATGTTTGGAGGCAATCGGCAGGAAGCCTTGAACTTGTGCTTCGTGCTAGTTGGCACTCCTCAGCAAGACGCGTCTGCAACCTGAAAGCAACTCATCCCCCTTCTGGGATTCGAATCCGCGTCACCCAGTGCTGTAATCAGAGACATTACCAATGAGCTATTCGGACTCGCAATTCACCTCCTGTAGAGGACTGTATTGGGTAATTTTGATTGGAAACTAGTCAGTAACTAGTGTAATGTGTGTGTGTGTGTCTAGTCCTATCTTTGCTGTAGACTGAATTCAGTCAGTCAAGTCTACAATGTGGCGACCATTCTAGGAAGCTTGCGATCATGGTGTACACTGATTTGATGATATTAGACTGTGGGCACATTGGAAACTTGACTGATAGAATTCAGTCTGCATCAAAGATAGGACTATGTACATTACACTATTTACTGACTAGTGCATCGGTGGCATAGCGACTAGGACGCTTGCCGACCATGCACATGGTCCGGAGTTCGATCCCCGGCCACAGAAGCACTCCTTTACCTCGCTAAGCCAGTAGTGAGACTGGTGAAGAGGAAAGGTTTGGCATGAGGCTAGCAACCCCATCCTGTAAAAATAATCAGCACTGCTACAGAAACTTCAAGCCTCTAGCTTGGAGCCCTATGTTCCACTGCGAACGTGCAGGAAAATTTTTTAAAAAATAAATAAAAAAATTACTGACTAGTGTCCAATCAAAGTATCCACGAAAGAAACAACAGTTAGTTGGATAAAGAATAACGCAATTTTTTAGGATCCGGAAGGTGAAAAGGATTGATGAAAGCTTCTGTGCCATTGAGAACTTTTTTAACCGCATAAACAAAAGTCTGTAAACAAGGATTCTTAGCACAACCCGCGCACACATAATCCCCGGCAGATGACAAAGTAACCTTCTGCAGGAAAAAAAACCAAACCGAAGACGTTGCTTCTTTGCTAACAATAACGCTGATAATAATGTACATAAAAATAGATAAATATCTGTTGATTTTCTCAATAAAGGATCTGTTGTCTGGCACTTGTCTTCTGTCGTTACAATATAAATGTAGTGAGACTGGAATGCACATAAAACCTCATTGTCGTCAATTTTGCAGTAATGTCCATCAGAAAGATTTCTCGAGTCTCATGGACGTTTGTGGCTATTTTGGCCTGCGCTTCCCTACTCGATTGACTGGCTTAGGATAAAAGTCAAGAATTGTGTGTGGGTTTATTTATTTTATTTTATTATTTTGACTACAGCTTGATTCCACACAGTATTTTTTAGTACAGGTATGGAATTTTCAGAATGGGATATCGGTAGCCCGAATTTCGCAGGGAGACCATAGATATCAGGTGTGCGTCGGCAGGGGATGGAACCCTGGACCATGTGCATGTGGTGGTCGGCTACAGTCCTAACTGCTGTGCCACCGACATACTTTGATCTGATTGATCATCTTTATCCTTCTTGTGATCTAAACAAAAAAAAATGTTCCATTGTATCATCTTTTCTATTCATTTAAAAGTATTTTTGTCGATTAAATTCTACTCTTGTTTTTTCTTATGTTGTTGTTGTTGTCGTTGCTGTATTTCCCATTCTCTGATGAATAATTAGCTCAGAGAAGAAGCTGATACACAGTTAGCGCATTTACGACAATCCATTCGTGAATCCGAAGAGGCATTCAGTCGTCAAAAAGCTGACCTACACACTAAACTCATATCAACTGAATCAGAATTGAATCGATTAAGACAATTAGCATCCTCCGGTGGTGGTGATTCATCACGTCAATCAGTACCCCCCAGTCGAAGTGATCCAGAAAATATACTAACACTTGAATCGCGTATAAGACAATTGACAGATAATCTCTTATCTAAACAAGATGCCTTGGATTCAGTCTTAGCACAGAATCATGCTTTGAAGGTAAGTAGAGTACAGACATATTGTGATTGCTACATTTCTAATGAATTTAATTGAATGAATTTTAGATTTTCCCGTCAATTGATTGGATCGAAGTGCTCGGTTTCAGGTTGACATGTCTATCGGCTTCTTGTTCAGATGCTTCGACGATGTCTGGTCATGTAATCAGAGGTTCATTGGTGGATGCTGACTAGCAGTGGAATCTATTCAGGATGCGCATTTCGTCCAATTTGGGACTCGTGGTCAACTGGATGTACCTACACTCACCAGTGAGTGATGATGTTCTCACCACTGAGGCTCGAACCCAGTGCCCATAGTTTCAAACGCCAAAGCGTTATCCACTAGACCACTTGGGCCACGAGAGCTGGCCACCTTTTGAGCAAAAGGTCTCAAATCGGACGACATGCGCGTTATTCTGCATTCCACTTCTAGTCACCATCCACAAATTAAATTTCTAATGAATATTTATAAATTAATATATTAATAATAATAGTGCGCTTTATTCCAAAACAGTACTAATGTTGCAATGTCGAATTTTCAACATTCGGTACATTTTTGCATCTAATTTTATCGAATAATATTAAAAACAATTATAAATATAGTATTACAGGATTGTTAATTATAGTTGTTATTTGGTATTAGTAATAACAGTGAAGTTATGTGTGTATATACAAAGAATTTTTAAATAATGATAATAATACTCTCTAATTTGGTTCGCAAGGGTTAGTTATGTTTTTACGAGTTGATCACGGATTAATACCAGTTTGGCAATCATCGGGAGTACGCACCCATTGGGATTCGAACCCAGGACCTTCCGGTTACAAGGCAAGCTCGTATATCATTCAGCCACTGGGACCCGATTCAATGGCCCATGAATTCTAACTTCTACCGATTGGTGATTTAGCGTGACCCCAACCATTGTCGTTGGTGGGACATCCATTCTCACACATGACATCTGGATGAACCTCACTGGTCACGACTTTGATTTTGATTTTTGATTACAGCTTGATTCCACACTGCATTTTTGGTACTAGTATGGAATTTTCAGAATGGATATCGGTGGCCCAAATTTTGCAGGCTGACAATAGATATCAGGTGTGCGTCGGCAGGGGATCGAACCTCGGACCATGTGCATGGTCGTCGAGAGTCCTAACCACTTTGACACCGACGCACACCGACTTCCCTAAAGAACTCCAGGAGACTCCGTCCTGTCTGTCTGGATTCAACATAGAACTTGGCACCGAAGTGCACCAGTTCGAGTTGCCACGTTCCAAATACCACACAGAGGTAGACAAGAAGATGAGTGAAGAGAATCAATAGAGTTTGACAAGTATAAGAGTGAAACAGAATGGGTAATGGTAGAAAGGAATATGAAAGATTACAGAGACTGAATACATCTGCACTGGCCATTGACAACGATTTTGAGCCATGTCACCTATTGTTTCCAGCCATTGATTCCTAGAGTCCCGATGGCCCCAACCCGGAAGTCTGCATCTCCCTACCTGACCGACTCAGTTTAACTGTCAAGGATTTCATGGATTGATGAGGCCATGTTTTTGTTTGGCCACCACTGGCTCTTTTCCAACCCGCACCTATATCAGCTAGCAATGCCCGTCGGGGGAGGCGATGGTTAGGCATGCGCAGCATGTGACCTAGCCATCTCAATCTATGTAACTTTATAGCCTCGTCGATTGATTTTCCTTCTTTGTCCAACACTCTACGTCTAACGTCAACATTACTTGCCTTATTATACCACCTGACGTGAGAAAGAGACCGCAGACATCTATGATCGAAAGCAGTCAACCTTTTCATGTCTTCAACTCGTATTGGCCATGTTTCAGAGCCATAGAGAAGGACTGAACGAACTGATGAGCAGTACACACGTCCCTTGGTTGATAGCCGGATGTCACGCCTACGCCAGAGATGGTGTAAGTTGGCGAAAGGAACTCGAGCTTTTTGGATCCGTGGTGAGATTTCGTCGCCAATCAGTCCGTTGGTGCTGACACAGCTTCCCAAATAGGTGAAGTGGTCAACATGTTCTATCACTTGACTCCCTATCACTAAGCTAGGAGTTGACGTAGTTCAGTTCTGTAGCAGCATCTTACATTTTGTAGGGGCGAATCGCATGCCAAACATACGAAGATAATAATAATAATGATTTACTTTATTCCAAAAACAGTACTTGTGATACAGATTGGAATTTTCAGCATTAATCACAATATTGCATCTAATTTCCTCAAATTATAAATAAAATTAATCATACAGAAAATTTTCCACATTTACAATGTTGATCATTTAGAGACTGATGTCCAATTTGAAAACCTATTTACCCAGACAAGCGACCTAACTCCTACGTCCAAGTATGAGCTAGAAAGATTTAAAAGTACCCTAATCGATTCCTGCTACCAGTTTAAGAGCAGCAAACATCCCGCCAACAGTCTACTTACAAAGAAACACCGAGAGGCATTACGTGACCTCAAAAAGAACGAAAATCTGATAATAACTAGACCTGATAAAGGATCTGGCACAGTTATCATGAATAAGAGTGATTATTTAGACAAAATGAATATCATTCTAAACGACCATACGAAATTTCAAAAGCTAAGCAGTTGTAAAGACACAACGGAGGCAACCGAACGCCAAATGGCCAAGACACTAAAATCATTAGTTGAGAGTAATCTGATTCCTAAAGAAACACTCGACGAATTGAAACCCTCAGGTACGCACACACCAAGACTTTATGGTTTACCGAAAGTCCACAAGCCGGGAGTACCACTACGTCCCATCTTAGATATGTGCCAATCCCCTTATCATTCTACAGCTAAGTGGTTGGTAAAGGCACTAGAACCACTACATCGCGAAGTAGTGAAATTCAGTGTAAAAGACGTATTCAGCTTTGTGGAAACTACCAAAAGCTTGAATGTAAAGGGAAAGAAAATGATGTCACTGGATGTAGCATCATTATTCACCAATGTCCCACTGCTTGAAACAGTCAACTACATATGTGACCAGCTGATAGAAAAGAAAATAGATGTAGGAATCCCACCCGAAAAGGTCAAAGAATTATTATTGAAGTGCACTATGAACGTTCAGTTTATGTTCAATAATGGTTTTTATAGACAAGTTGATGGGGTAGCCATGGGATCACCTTTGGGCCCTTTGCTAGCGGATATTTTCCTGGCAAAGCTTGAAAATGGTCCACTCAAAGACACGATTAAAGGGTTTGACTATTATTGTCGATACGTAGATGATACGTTTATCGTTTGTAATAGAAATCTTAATAAACAAGAGCTTCTGAATACCGTTAATAGTGTTCACCCAACTATTCAGTTTAAATGTGAAGAAGAAGACAATAACAGTTTACCTTTCCTAGACGTCCTACTTACCATGAAGACAGATGGATATCTACAAAGGAAATTATTTAGAAAGAAAACCTGGACGGGTCAGTACACGCATTTCCATAGTTTCACACCGATTCAGCATAAAAGAAACTTAGTTAAGTGTCTTAGCTACAGAATAAAACGAATATGCTCAGAGGAATGCATTAAGGAAGAAATGCATAAACTAAAACTCACACTGCAAGAGAATGGATATCCACAGAGCTTCCTAAGAAAGTATATGTCAATACCTATATACAGGGTAAAGGTGGATACCGTAGACAAGAAACCTTTGTATCTTAAGTTAAGTTACAAAGGGGAAATTGCAGCTGACATTCTAAAGTGTCGACTCAATAGAGCAATAGATAGAAACTTCTCAACTAAACCAGTACTCACACAGCAAGTAAAGGATAAATTACCAAAGATGGCCTCATCAATGTGCATCTACGAATTCAACTGCTCATGTGGAGCTAGTTATATTGGCCGTACTAAGAGAATTAACCTTGTTATGCCTGTTATCGCGACAGATAGATAGGTCGTTAGATAGACAGCTAAACAATATTATGTGACCTTTTCTGTCGCGATTATTGGTTATTTAATGTAACTCACACCACGTGATGTGACCTTGAGTGTTCTTTGTTTTCTGTCAATCTATTTGTGTGTACATGGAATTAATATTAACTGTTCACATTTTGTCCGTCCCCTGACTACTGTTCGGTACGTGTTTGTCCTTTCTTGAGTGACAATGGATTTTATACTTTTCTTGGTGTAATTGTATGATTTATTTTATGTTAAATCAAGTCACTCTGTTCTTAAGTAAAGTTAAGCAAAGACTGTGTTGTCAGTACTGAGTAGAAGGACTAAATCTGTAGGCAAAATTAATCCTACAATGTTTCCATAATCACAGTAGCAAGAACAAGATGATATCTAGTTAACATGAAAGAAAAATCCGATTTGTAGCACTTAGTTCACTTTATGAATTTACACGAAACAGTAGGAAGACGTAATTCATCTGAATCGTGTAATGTATTTCCGCGTTCAACCTATTTCGAACAATCTGATCACAAACACGAACTTTTCATCGGAAATAATGAAGAGTTAAGGGGTGAGAAAATAGACTACTTAGGTCAAGTTAAAAGGACTACAATGATCATCAAAATAACAAAATAACAGATCATTAAACCAGTAAAAAGGAGGCAATAGTTCATCTACTCTAGTATCAAAACAAAGTTTACCAAAGAAGGTTTAATGTGATTATGAATTGTTGCTTTGAACGCATAAATCTGGTCTAAACTTCCTAATTGCCGACTGGCTCTTCCACAAATTTAGGATACGCTCCTAAAACACATTTTACAGATGTGTAACCATCCTGTCTCTAGGTTGTCTGTTCTCACCATTAATAGATTCTGAGGATTCTATTTTCTTCTAAAGCTATGCCGAAATATGCTCTGAAGTCGCTGTGATTAGTCATCTGTTTCGTGACTCCTACGAATCACGAAAAATACCAATTTATTCACAAGTAAAAACATAGTTTTCCTTTGGTTCAGCGAAGAAATTTCTTTTCAACGACTTCATTTTCAAGCTGTACAACCGTATTTATATTACAGAAAAAGGTTATTAAGTGGCACTAGATAATTGCTCAGCCAATATACATGTATATGCGATAAGAATAACGATAATTAAAATGTTATAAGTAGAGTGAGTGAATAAATTACAAAATTATTAAAGATTGTTTTATAAGTGGATTGATGTCAAAAATGGTTTAAAAATGTCATGTGTTGTCTAAAAATTAAAAAAAATTGGGAGTACGATTACGATAAGAATCAAGATGTGAAATGAAGTAGAAAGAACTCAAGTGGTAAAATAAAAACTAGAAAGAACATTATTATGACTAAGGTAAAGAAAGGGGTTTGACAAAACGTTCTGGAACACATAATTTAGGTTTCTGTTCATGTATAGCTAAAGCTTCGGCTATGCATAAGTGAAGAAAACGTAAACTTTGGGATCGATTCGATTTTGCCATGTAGACAACTTTGAAAGATGAATCACATGGGTCTGAATGACCAGGCTCTAACAGGTGGTCACAAATAGACGACTTTGCAGTTCTTCGTTCGCCTTTCATTGATCAAACCGGATAGTGTTCAGCGGAGAGTACGCTTACAACGTTCAGTATAATCAGATCCACAGGAGCAGGTGTGTATATTGACTGAGCAATTATTTAGTGCCAATTAATAACCTTTTTCTGTAATATAAATACGACTGTACAGCTTGAAAATGAAGTCGTTGAAAAGAAATTTCTTCGCTGAACAAAAAAAACTGTTTTTACTCCTGCGAATAACAATAAACTGTTGACTTTACGAATCTAAGACTGATGACCCAGGAAGCACATAGATTCGCTTCACAAATGATATTACTCCATAGCATTAGGTGTAAATAACATTGCTAAACTGCACTACACTAATATCCCCAAATTAATTAAGAATAACAGCTGTCTCAGTTTAGAGAACTGCAAAGTACTAAAAAGCTATGTTCTTTTGTTTCATAATTAAATGTATATATAATAGTCTGAAAGGCTCTATTCGAAGTGATAATTAGTCGAAGACTTTTGTCTTGTAATTCAGTTTTTACCGTTCCTCTGACTTTTGATTTTTTTTACCATTCAGCTGTACGTGCGTCGGTGGCATAGCGGTTAGGACGCTCGCCGACCGTGCACATGGTCCGGGGTTCGATCCCCGGTCGCAGACGCATTCTTTTACCTCGCTAAGCCAGAAATAATGGTGGTAAAAGAGGAAAGGTTGGGCATGAGGCTAGCAACCCCATCTGTAAAATCAGCACTGCTACAGAAACTTCAAGCCACTAGCTTAAAGCCATATGTTCCATTGGGGAATGTGAAGGAAAAAAAATTCAGCTTTACACCAGCTTTTTTCACTACTGCATATCATATTCCTACCTCGTCATTTATGGTATCTATTAATAAATTTTTTTTTATTTTCCTATTTTTGTTTTATAGATTCGACTTGATCGTGTTATGAATGACAATGAGTCGCTTGTCTCAGCTTTATCCTCTGATGATGCCCAGTTGATCTTAGAAAATGGTAGACCTTATCAATCTGCTGTTGGATATGGTTGTACTCGGCTTAATTTACATGTAAGTGCTAATCAGATTTTAAATAAGTAGATTGATGCGTTTAACTGAAAGAGGTTATGAAAATGAATAATTACTTGTTGGATAGGTAGACATTCATTTACTGGTTTGTTTATGTCACTTTATTTATATCTAAAATTGGAGGTATAGCTTATTAGTCATTAACACTTGACAATACCACTCAGTGTGTCCCGGGGGTTCTCATTTCCCCCCTCCCCGTAGTTACTTTAGGCCAGGCCGACCTGGTCGTTTCATCAATCTTCACATAGTAAATTGATATCACTGAGACCAAGGGGTTGACGAAATGATGGAATGAATCCTTACCACATCGGTAAACTTCACCAGAGATTCGTCAGGGTTCTCACTTCCATTCCCTCAATACCTGCAAAAGACAAAATTTGGAAAATACGGACACTATAGTAATAATAATATTATTATTTACTTGTAATACACGTGTTCCCCCAAAACTTCCAGTTTTGTGTGGTTTTGTTATACATACATATTTTTTTAAATTTTACGTATCTACATATACATATAAAAGGAGTCAAAAATTGTTGCAATATGTACAGAAAACGCTGGAAAAAATCCCATGTAGTTTAATGAAAGTTGTTTGGAATGAAGTGATTTGTAGTAAGTCTCCAGACAGACTGTAGATGTTACTAATTTCCTGGAATAATTTGGCCACTGAGTCAGAGTGAGCCATTATGGAAATTATTCAAAATAATCCCCGCGTTGTGTTTAAGGAAAATTCACAATCAAAACAAGATCTGTTTTCTGAACGTTTCGCTGTGTAAGCCCCATCACAGTTTCTTCAAGAGTAGACAGGTGAAGGTCAGAATGAATGAACATAGAAAATGCACGAAGTATCCACACTAGAAATGAAGTGGAATTAAACGGTCTTGACAAATGATCAGCTATAGCAATGTATGCGATAGCGAGTGGACATAAGATTGATTTCGACAATGTTGAAATTCTAGGAAGAGGCTTTCTGTAACATAAAGAAAAACTGACCTTTGAAGTCTTGCACATATCAACCACATCAAGTGGAGTAATTATTAGGAGAGAAGGGAGAGACTGATCACCCACCTATACGTCAGACTCAAATGAAGTCAGACAAATGAGAGAACAACGAAAACTTCTGTGTCCTCGATAAAAATATTATCATGTTTGTCATATGTGAATTGACGTCTTTTCCATATGACAAAAAACATTTACTCAAACACACATGCAGACGTCGTTCGGTCCAGAATATCCCTGTCTGCTCGTTTCCCGCTATCTGACGCAAAATCCAGTCAGTTCACCACCATTAGGAATATCATTGGTGATGGATAATAAGCACCCTTATCGGACTCCGAACGCCTCTATGAGTTTTCCGTTGTGGATGACTTGACATGTGCCGTTGTCGTACAGCTGTTGAATAAGGTTGATGAATATTTGGGGCACTGTATGCCGTAGTACTCGAGTAGTTCCCGAATTACTTCGCGTTCAACGTTGTCGAAGGTCTTCTCAAAGTCTACAAAGTTGAGGTAGAGGTTTGATTACCATTCCATGCTTTGTTCGATGATGACGCGTAGAGTTGCAATTTGGTCAGAACATGATTTGCCTTTCCTGAATCCAGCTTGTTCTGGTCGGAGTTCTGTATCCAATGCGTCCTTAATTCTCTCCAGGATTTTACTTGGCGTCGACGGGAGCATGCATTGCTATAGCTGATCATTTGTCAAGACCGTTTAATTCCACTTCATTTCTAAGGTGGATACTTCGTGCATTTTCTATGTTCATTCATTCTGACCTTCACCTGTCTACTCTTGAAGAAACTGTGATGGGGCTTACACAGCGAAACGTTCAGAAAACAGATCTTGTTTTGATTGTGAATTTTCCTTAAACACAACGCGGGGATTATTTTGAATAATTTCCATAATGGCTCACTCTGACTCAGTGGCCAAATTATTCCAGGAAATTAGTAACATCTACAGTCTGTCTGGAGACTTACTACAAATCACTTCATTCCAAACAACTTTCATTAAACTACATGGGATTTTTTCCAGCGTTTTCTGTACATATTGCAACAATTTTTGACTCCTTTTATATGTATATGTAGATACGTAAAATTAAAAAAATATGTATGTATAACAAAACCACACAAAACTGGAAGTTTTGGGGGAACACATGAATTACAAGTATATAATATAATATATAATACATGTAATAATAACAATAATAATGATAATGTCTGCTCATGTCTTGCAGTTCAGTTAGTTCACAGAAAATCCGTGCTTAAATATGGTGGTGGTATGGTAGAATTTTTTTATATTTAATGGCCGTAATAAGCATAAATTCTTATGAAATTTCTAGTTTCACCTCCGAAGATATTCACTAAGGCGAAAGTTGTGAATAAGTGGAGAGGATGTTTGGTTTCAGGCAACATAAATTTAGCGCAACCGCTTACAAGAATTGAAAGTATCTATTGACAATAATTTCAGTTCGCTGACTCAAAGGTGCACACCACTAACTCTACCTAAAGCCTTTATGTAATATGTTACAGTGTTTTTTGAGAGTTCCAGGGAAGAATAGGGACGAACAAGAGAGAAAATGAAGGGGCAGAATGCATGGATCAACAATAAATCGTAGGAGAAGAGGTTGAGTTATGATGCCAGAAAGTCTCAAGTTCTTTATGTGTAATAAGGTAAGCGTAAAATTTTTTTTAGAAATCAACAGGATGTGAGACGACCAAGAGAGATTCGAAGAGAAACTGACGTCTAGATGATAGAAATTCGATTTATTCTCTACTCTATGACACTGCCGTCAATATCTTACAGGAATCATGTGACTGAATCAGTCAGTCCACGGAAGTCTTGTTCACATGTGAAAGAAACTAAAATCAACAGTATAACTTTCTGTTAGATTCAGTTTAAGACCATTTAGGTGAGACGACCACTTGTTAAATTGAGATGATAAGAACAGTCCAAAGCGGAAACTACTGGGACAGAAATGGTCAGATCATCGGGATATTTTGATGAATGAAGTTAGCTTTGGAAGAATCCAGAAAGAGTAGGTTATGTGAAAAAAAAGCAAAAACGGAATGAAGAGAGAGAGTACAGAGTCTTGAGGCACACTAGTTTGTTTTTTTCGTTAGCATCAAAGTGGAGCGCTTTCACTTTTCATAAACCACTACCCGAAAAATAAGAAGACAGACAGACACCTCGTGACCCATAAAGTCAGTACATGCTGACATCATCTTGGTGAGTAGAAATGCCCTGAGAATAGAGTAGAGTAGTGTAGTCTAAAATGGAGGCTTGGACAAACTTTGCATCTTTCTCAAGACTTGAGCGAGTACTCTGATAGAGTAGAACGACATCATTCAAAGTGCGCGTACCGCACTTGTAAGCAAACCGCTTTATATCACTAAAAGATTTTAAGGAAGGTTTAAGACTATTCAAGAGAAGTTCCTGCATGGTTTTCAAAAATCGAGACATGGTAGAGGTTCGCGTAAACTTCAAACCTGATCTAGAAGATGACTTTGGTACAGACACCATCTTTATTTCTATCCAGGCCACAGATACTGTATCTCTGTGCAGTGATCTACTGGAGATTTGTGTAGGGCGGTGACACAAAACACCAACACACTTGAAGTAAGATGTTGTTTTCTACACCAAACAGTGTAATGGATATGAGGATTTGAGACATGAATATTATACCCTTTTCATTAAACCCCCGGACGAGTTATGATTTATGCGACTTTGACAATGACTTACTTCCTCGTAACTGGACTAGTCAGTAGGACTAATACAGTTCCACATGAGGTTGGTTGGTGTTCACTGACTAAAGGATACAGCTACGAGTGGCTCAGGATATCTTGACGATTGTCAATAACAGAAAAACTGACATTACCAACTGGAAACCGATGACACGACACATTGGATGAAAAACTGACGAGCGTTTCTCTTCTCTAGAGGTAATCCCTCGAGGTTGAACAGCAAAGACGTTAGGTAAGTTTGTAAGGTGTTGAAAATTCCGAAAATTTTAACCACTTAATGTACAAGCTTTATCAGCTAGTATTTTTCGAAAGTAGAACATTCTTAAAGTTCAATATAATCCCAGTAAAATGGCGAAAATCTTTCATTAAATTAATATATGCGTAAAACTTGGGCAGTGAGGTCGTAAGTAATTCCATATTAGCGTCTTTATTAGATGTATCACAATGAAACAGAATTATTATTATTTACTGGATGACAAGGTTTCGAACACAATTTATTATTGTTGTTCATAATCATATCATCAATTATAATTAATCACACGACTTCGAAACTTGAGTTTTATAGTTGTTTTCTTTATTCTCTCCCATTTGTCGTGGTTGTAGAATTGGTAGTAGAATTTTCCAGATGTCTGGGTGGACAGGTGTTGAACCATTCCTAACACATGCAGCATTTCCAGTTGATTCGATAGACAAAGCCTCCATTGTTATCAATCTTCCCAACTCACCACTCTGTTACATTAGATTTTAAAACTGTCATCCTACCCCATCCATCCTATGGTATGGTTGTGTGTAATTGCATGTAGTGAGTGCTGTCTGTCTACGGCTGAATTATTGTCTAGATTTTTAATCCTATTCGGGTCAACCAATCTAGATTTTGGTGCTAGGTTTTTATGCTGGGCTAGTCTGACTGACTGCCTCTGTTCCACTGCTTTGACCTATGTATTTGACCTGACAATCATTGCAGGTAGAGAGCGCGTATTAGATAAACTGAATTGTTTTGTTCTAAAGGCTCCTCCATAGGAGGGATCTTCTAACCCACGAAGCTTGTTTCTAATTGAGTTTGTGAGTGGTTTGAATGACAGCGACTTTTATTCCTGCCTGTCTTGTTAAGAATTCTGCGTCAGGTGGTTTCCGAGGTTCCTTCCTTGCATGGAAATACTACTGATGATTTAGATTCCTTATTGTTGGTGTTGTGGCTTTCGCATATTTAACATGCATGTCGTCATTATTACTATTATTATTGTTATTA